ATAATAATAATAATAATAAAGTTGGAAGGGACCTTGGAGGTCATCTAGTCCAACCCCCTGCTCAGGCAGGAAACCCTATACTATTTCAGACATATGGCTGTCCAGTCCCTTCTTAAAAACTTCCAGTGTTGGAGCATTCACCGCTTCTGGAGGCAGGTTGATCCACTGGTTAATTGTTCTCACTGTCAGGAAGTTTCTCCTTAGTTCCAGATTGCTTCTCTCCTTGATGAGTTTCCATCCATTGCTTCCTGTCCTGCCTTCAGGCGCCTTGGAGAATAGCTTGACTCCCTCTTCTTTGGGGCAGCCACTGGTGTCATGTCCCCCCTCGTCCTTCTCTTCGTTAAACTAGACATCCCCAATTCCAGCAACCGTTCCTTGTATGTTTTAGCCTACAGTCTCCTAATCATCTTTGTTGCTCTTCTCTGTACTCTTTCTGGAGTCTCAACATCTTTTTTACTAAACGAACTGTTGTAAATTAAGGACTACTTACCTGTATTTGCTGCGTAATTCCGCAAGGGCGGCTTCATTCTGGCACCGTCGTGTTTTGCTGCAGACTTTGTGCCCTTTGCAAATGCCAAAAGAAAATGTACAGCTGGAACCAAGAAGTTGCCAAGAATTAGGCTATCCTAAAAAACAGAACTGACCTTTTTCTTTAAAAAAAAAAAAAAGACATAATCAATCAGGATCTTATGCAAAACCCTGCATGGGATGGATTGTGACAGTAAGGGGGGGAAAAATGATAGTTAAGGAGAGTGTAACAGGATTCCCGGCCTTTTAAAACGTCTCTGTAACTCAGCACGATAATAATATATTGCTGGCATTCAGTGGAATTGCTGCTGTGTTTTATTTCCTGGTGTTTTTGTTCTTCTTCTTCTTGAAAATAAGCGTCAGACCTGCCCCGGTCTGCTTCCTTAGGAAAGGAAGATCATTGACTCCCATTTGGTTGAACTGAAAGATCCTTTTACTAAAAGATGGCTGGTTGCAGAAGAATCAGGCTAGAAGTAAAAATTTTCCCATGCCGAAAGAGTGACATGATAGCAATATTTCAGTATTTGAGGGGCTGCCACAAAGAAGAGGAGGGAGTCAACTTATTTCCCAAAACACCAGACAGCAAGACAACAAACAACGGATGGAAATGAATCAAGGAGAGAAGCAACCTGGAATTAAGGAGAAACTTCCTAACAGTGAGGACAATCAACCAGTGGTTAATTGTTCTCCCTGTCAGGAAATTTCTCCTTAGTTTTAGAGTTGCTTCTCTCCTTGATTCGTTTCCACCCGTTGCTTCTTGTCCTGCCTTCGGGTGCTTTGGAGAATAGCTTGACTCCCTCTTCTTTGGGGCAGCCCCTGAGATCTTGGAAGACTTGCTATAATTTATTTATTTATTTATTTTTAAAATTTATAAGCCGCCCCACTCCCGGAGGACTCTGGGCGGCTAACAATAAAAACACCATAAAACATAACAAAACAAACAGTACAAGAACAGTCATCCAGGGGTCAGATTTTATAAACCCCAGGCCTGCCGGAAAAGCCAGGTCTTAAACAGTTTACGGAAAACCAACAGGGTGGGAACGGTCCTAATCTCTGGGGGGAGCTGGTTCCACAAGGTGGGCGCCATCACAGAGAAAGCCCTCCTCCGTGGCCCCGCCAAATGGCACTGCTTGGCCGATGGGACCTGAAGGAGGCCCAGCCTGTGGGATCTAACCAGACGAAGGGAACTATGAGGTAGTAGGCGGTCTCGCAAATAGCCTGGCCCTGAGCCATATAGGGCTTTAAAGGTAATAACCAACACCTTGAATTGGACCCGGAGACCAGTAGGCAACCAGTGCAGCTCACGGAGGATAGGTGTAACGTGGGTGTATCGAGGAGCACCCACTATCACTCGCGCGGCCCAATGTCCCCCCTCGTCCTTCTCTTCGTTGAATTAGACCCGTGATGGCGAACCTTTTAGAGTCCAAGTGCCCAAACTGCAACGCAAAACCCACTTATGCATCGTCAAGTGCCGGGTGGGTGTGGCCCATTGGGTGGGTGTGGCCCATTGGGTGGGCGTGGCTGCGGTGGTAACGGCAGACTGGGTGGGACTAAAAAGTTCAATCAATCAATTCCAACTTTGCAAAATCTTTTTTTTTTCCCACCCGAAGTTGAAATTGACTGATTGAACCTTTTTTTTTTTTTTTTTTACACACGGCGGCGGAGGCCTAAAGCGAAAAGGTTTTATAAAACCCAGCTGAAGGCCTAGGACTGGGGCGACGGCGCGCATGCCCACAGAGAGGGCTCTGAGTGCCGCCTCTGGCACCCGTGCCATAGGTTCGCCACCACTGAACTAGACATACCCAGCTCCACCAACTGTTCCTTATATGTTTTAGCCTCCAGTCCCCTGATCTTCTCTGCACTCTTTCTAGAGTCTCAATATCTTTTTTACATCGCGGTGACCAAAACTGGATGCAGGATTCCAAGTGTGGCCTTACCAAGGTGTTGTAAAGTGGTATTAACTCTTCCTGTGATCTTGATTCTGTCCCTCTGTTAATGCAGCCTAGCACTGTGTTGGCTTTTTTGGCAGCTGCAGCACACGGCTGGCTCCTATTTAAGGGATTGTCCACCAGGATTAACATTAAATATTATATACTAACACTGAAGCAGCAGGCGTGAGCTTCAATGGACTCCAGAAGATGATAGAGGACAGGAAGGCCTGGAGGAACGTTGTCCATGGGGTCGCGATGGGTCGGATACGACTTCGCAACTAACAACAAATTATATACTAAGCATTAACACTAAGAGATAAACAGGATGAGTTTATTCCTTTTCTCTGTACCCAGAGAATTGAATATGTTATTAAACTATGGTTTTCTTACTCATGATGGATAGAAATGAACTATAGAAGCAACTATTTAAAAAAACTATTCTGATTCCCACTGTACAGAAACCGAAATTATCGCAGTACTCCTAACAGTGCTGGCTCAAGCAATTAGATCAAACAACAAGAAACGGTTATGAATTCCACATTTTGGGAGCCAATTTGGTACAGTGGTTAAGACACGAGCTTAGAAACCGGGAGACGGTGAGTTCTAGTCCTGCCTTAGCCATGAAAGCCAACTGGGTGACTTCGAACCAGTCCCTCTCTCTGAGCCCAACCTACCTCACAGGGTTGTCGTCGTGGAGAAAAAAGGAGTAGGAAGGAGTATTCCGTGGATTTACCTCCTTGAGTTCTTTATAAAAACAGTGAAGACGAGATTAAAAACGGATAAACAATAAATGAAATCAATAAAACATTCGACCGTCCTTTCGCAACTTGGGCTGATTTGCATGGTCCCACTTGAGTTGTTTGGGGGGGGGGAGTGGGGTATAAATAAATAAATAAATGTTTTCTGAGGTTTTCGCGGGTGTTTGTATGTAGGTCTTTGGTTGTTCGGGTTTTCTCCCGCGTAAAATTGGAAGTGTCTTGGCGACGTTTCGACGAAGTCCCATTCGTCATCTTCAGGCTGGTGTTTTCAGCTTCGTGCTTCGTGCTCCTCAAAGCACGAAGCTGAAAACACCAGTCTGAAGATGACGAATGGGACTTCGTCGAAACGTCGCCAAGACACTTCCAATTTTACGCGGGAGAAAACCTGAACAACCAAAGACCTACAAATAAATAAATAAATACATTTTAAAGCAGTACAACTTTTCCTTGGATTCCCGGTAGGGACCAGGTGAGCTGTCTTCCCGTTCTTGTTCCAGAGGTTATTAAAGGTGGAGCTGTTGCAGTAAGCCTCCCTGATTTATCCTGCCGTCTTTAATTTCTACTTTTATTGTTGACATGCTTACTATCTGGTGGTGCTGCGTTTATCACTTTTATGGACGACTGCGCCAGGGAGGCTTTAATTGGTTTTTTTTTTTTTTTTTTGCTGTTCGACATAACACAACGAGAGTGTTTGATTGCGGTGGGATAGAAACGTGAGACATAAATAAACAAAACGTGATGGCAAATATAAACACGGGGATTTGCACAAAACTAAATAATGGAAACTTGCACCTGAAACAAAGGATGACCTTTCAGAACTTAATCTGTTCTCTTGCACAAACTCCCATTAGTCTGTTAATTAAGGCACCAGGATAGAAGCCAGGAGACAGTGAATTCTAGTCCGGCCTTAGCCATGAAAGCCATTGGGTGATTTTGAACCAATCAGCGGGAGAGGTTGAGTTCTAGTCCCACTTTAGACACGAAAGCCAGTTGGGTGACTTTGGACCAATCGCCAGGAGATGGTGAGTTCTAGTCCCACCTTAGACGTGAAAGCCAGTTGGGTGACTTTGGGCCAATCACCAGGAGAGGGTGAGTTTTAGTCCCACCTTAGACGTGAAAGCCAGTTGGGTGACTTTGGGCCAATCACCAGGAGAGGGTGAGTTCTAGTCCCACCTTAGACATGAAAGCCAGTTGGGTGACTTTGGGCCAATCACCAGGAGAGGGTGAGTTCTAGTCCCACCTTAGACGTGAAAGCCAGTTGGGTGACTTTGGACCAATCACCAGGAGATGGTGAGTTCTAGTCCCACCTTAGACGTGAAAGCCAGTTGGGTGACTTTGGGCCAATCACTAGGAGAGGGTGAGTTCTAGTCCCACCTTAGACGTGAAAGCCAGTTGGGTGACTTTGGGCCAATCACCAGGAGAGGGTGAGTTCTAGTCCCATCATAGATATGAAAGCCAGCTGGGTGACTTTGGGCCAATCGCCAGGAGAGGGTGAGTTCTAGTCCTGCCTTAGGCATGAAAACTCAACTAGATGGTGAGTTCTAGTCCTACCTTAGGCGGATGTCTTAGGGCCAATCACCAGGAGACACAGTGAGTTATAGTCCCGCCTTAGGCATGAAAGCTGTCAGGATGACTTTGGGGTGGTAACTGAGCCCAGTCCACCTCACCGGGTTGTTGTTCTGGGAAAAATGCGTAGGAAGGAGTATTCCCTGTGTTTGCTGCCTTGTAAAAGGAATAAAAGCGGGATATGAACAGACTGTTTTATTTATTTTTTCCTCCCTAGGCGAACAAACTGAGGACCAAAACTTTGCGGAATACATTAAACCCCACTTGGAATGAAACCCTCACATACTACGGGATCACCGACGAAGACATGATCCGCAAAACGCTTAGGTGAGTCTGTGACAGCCTCAGGGCAGGTAGACCAGACGGGAAACACAACCAGGTGAGCTAATTCCGCTTTATTATAAGGCTAGTGTCAACGCTGCTAACATCGGATGTTTTGCATTGGCAACAGATGGAAATATAGCCATCTTCTTCCCTTTTGGTTTTAGAGTTAGATGATGCTGGGGGTGTGTGTGTGAATAGAGTCTAGCTAGACATAACAACACTAAACTCTGCATGAGAATCAAGGTTATTGAGACCAGAGCTGATAAGGATTTGGCAGGCTGGAGAACTGGAGAGGAAGCCCGCAATTCAAGCTAATTGGGGAATGTGATTTATGACTGTTAATTGGAGGAGGGAATTGTGCTTTGATACTATGTGCCCAGGGGAGGGGAATTCAGCTTTTGGCTTCGATTATGTAGTGCCGATAGTATGCTATTCGAATACAAGATTCTTTAAGGTAAACAATGCCTTGAAGTTCTTTTGAAGAGTTTCATCTGTCGGAACCATGACAGCTAGGGGAACAGAATCTCTCCATCTGAAAGTATAAGTCTCCCGCAGTCTCTTTTGTAGCCTGAGAAATTAGGGGGAGAAACGTTTTTCTCGCCATGCACATGTATACATCACCCGAACTAGACTTGTGTTGTTTCTCTGTGTCATACAATATATGTGAAAATATATGCATAATTCTGTATTTATTTATTTTTGCCGTAGTTAGGTAGTGCAGTGGTTCTTAACCTTTTTGAACGAATCGCCCCCTTGAGCCAATGAGGAAGTTGTCATCGCCCCCCTCCTCCAACATAACCTCTCAATCACAATATAGGAAATATTTTTTCAATTTATGCAAACACTTTTTTTGTTTTCTTTAAAATTGTCATCAGGACATATCGATGCAAATAATTTATTTCCAGTCTTTTCCCCATATCTCCCATATGGGCACCATTGTATGGGTAGAGGCTGCTGCGCAACGCGCATGAAGATAAGCGATGCATCTTCACATATGTACGGTGTTCTGTACTGAAGCTAGCTGGAGGAACATTTGAAAACATAATTCAATCAATTAATAGCGAGCTATCTGATGTTTTTGTACGACAGATATGCAGCCATTCACTGTACGAAAAAGTCTCAAAAGTGTCCCCAAAACGTCTCGCTCCATCGCCCCCATATCGCCCCCTTTTCGTTCCTTTGCCCCCCTGAAAAATGAAATCGCCCCCTGGGGGGCAATATCACCCAGGTTAAGAATCACTGAGGTAGTGTATATCGGAGGTGGAGACCCTCTGAGAGCGGTGTGCAACGAAATTTCATTTTAATGTACGCCGATTAGTGTACATTCAAAGTGACAATAAAGTTGTTCATTATTCATTATTCTATTCGTTTTCTGAGTCTCTTCGTCTGTCCGTTAGGCAGCTGAGGGCTGGTGTATCTCTTATCTGATTATTCCCTAGGCAGCATTGCTTCCTCCTGTATGCCAAGGCCATTCCTACATACCATTACAAGTAGCCTTTGACTTACGACCACAATTGAGCCTGAAGTTTCTGTTGCTCAATTGTTATCTGAGTTTTGCCCCATTTTACGACCTCAGCATTGTTACGTGAATCGCTGCAGTTGTTAAGTGAATCTGGCTTCCCAAGTGATATTCAGAAATTCACAAAAGGTGACCCAGGGACATTGCAACCGTCATAAATATGAGTCAATTGCCAAGGAACACTGCCACGGTCATAAATATGAGTCAGTTGCCAAGCGTCTGAAGTTTGATCACGTGATCAGGGGGATGCTACAACAGTTATAAGTGTGAAAAACGGGTTGTAAGTCACTTTTTTTCAGTGCCGTTCTAACTTTGGATGGTCACTAAATGAACTGTTGTAAATTGAGGACAATTTGTACTGTCAGAGCCCTGTTTGGCTTGCACAACTGTTGGCCGAGCCTGGCTTGCAAAGTGTTTAAATCTCCCTTTGATGGTGTAGAAAGAAAAAAAAAATTCATCAGGGTCCAGTCCAAGCCGGGAATAAACAAAATGGAGACTGCTTTAGAAAGAAAGTTGCAGTTTATTGAAGAGGAGAGCCAGAAAGAAAGATAGTTCTGGGAAAACTGACCACATGCAGCAGGGAATGGTGGCTTTTGAGGTTGTTTCCTGTTCCTGTTTGAGCTTTTGTATTTCCTGTGTCATGTATTTTGACCTTAGTCTGAGTGTTAATCCTATTATGTCCCCAAAGGTCATGTTTTTTAGAGTTTGGGTAGGGTATGTAGATTTTAGGTGTCCTTGTCTTCCTAATCTTCTAGCTTTCTGACTCCAATCTTCCTGAATGGATTCTTACATCTGCATTTCTAAAAGTTGGCCTGATTTTTGCTTGGGCAGAGAGACTTGGCGGGGGGGGGGTGGTGGTGTTCTGCCTAAGATTTTCTATTATTCCTTTGGGGAAATATATTCTGCCTTTTAAATATTCCCCAAAATATTTCTTTCTCTGGGGGGCTGACTTCCCACAATGGACTATTTCGAGATTGTCTGTCCAGTGGCTAGCCATTTTCCCAAAGCGTAAAATATATTTTCCCTGACAATGCCTGAGCTTAAAGCCGATTTATCTTCCCTTTCCCCAGCCAATTACTTAACATATTTTTCCCCTCTTTCTCATCTCGGTAAATTCTCAGCTTTAGCAAAAAAAAAAAAAAAAAAACCCAAAACCCTAACTTGTCTTACCTGGAAACACGCTGGGGCGATTCTCAGCGCCCGGTTGTTAAAAATGCAAATGAGTTATTCAGTTTTGATTAGCTTGTAACTCTGGAACATCCTAATCTAGCAGTTGGAAGGAGGACGGCAGCCGTCAAAGCCGTGGTGATTTGATTTTAATTTCCACGGGATGTTCATTTTTAAACGTCTCTGCTTTGTGTTTTTATTAGGCCGTTTAAGGACGGAAAGGTTTTTGGCAGAGAAGGAAGTAATAAAATACAACTCAGGGGTTTAAAACGAAATCATAAAAATGCCAGTCAGGGATTTGGAAATGTCAAGGAAATTGTCACTTGCTAATATAGCATTACTTAGCTGTAAATAATTGAGGCTGCCTCAGAGTCCCCTCAAAGCAAGAAACGAGGAGCATATCACTGTAAATGTAATAATAAATAAAAAAAATAAAAGACTTGAGTATATTATACAGGTAGTCCTCGGCTTACAACCACAACGGAGCCTACACTATCTGTTGCTAACTGAGACAGCTGTTAAGTGAATTTTGCCTCGTTTTAAGACTTTTCTTTGCCACAGTTGTTAAGCGAATCACTGCAGTTAGCAACATGGTTGTTAAGTAAATCTGGCATCGACATTGCTTGTCAGAAGGTCGCAAAAGGGGATCACATGATCCCGGGACACTGCAACCGTCATAACTATGAATCAGTGGCCAAGCATCTGAACTTGGATCACGTGACCAGGGGAACGCTGCAGCGGTTGTAAGTGAGGAGAAGGTCATATAGTAAGTCCCTTTTCAGTGCCATTGTAACTTTGGATAGTCACTAAACGAAACTGTTGTAAGCTGAGGCCTACGTGGGCTTAGTGGTAAATCACTGAGGCCTCTCAGAGTCGCCTCAAACCTCGAGATTTACAGAAGCTGTAAATTTAATGAATAATAATAATTATAATAAGCTGTTGCAAGAAGATCGCACAGACTGACTACAAGCAGCGGCATGACAAAGTAGCAACAATGGTGCATTGGAAGATCTGCCAGAAATATCATTTGCCTGTAAGCCAGAACGGGTGGGATCATAAAATAGAGAAAATCATAGAAAATGATAAAATTAAACTGCTCTGGGACTTCAGAATTCAGACAGACAAGCACCTGCAACATAACACCCCGGACTTAACAATTGTGGATAAAAAAGACAAAAAAGTCTGGATAGTGGATGTGGCAGTGTCTGGAGACAGCAGAATAGACGAGAAAGAACTGGAGAAGATAACAAAATACAAAGACGTACAAATAGAAATAGAAAGACTGTGGCAAAGGCAAGCAAGGGTAGTACCGATAGTAATAAGGGCCTTGGGTGCAATCCCAAAACAACTGGAGCACCACTTGAACACCATCATTGGCACTGACAAATTCACCATGAGTCAATTGCAAAAGGCGGCCTTACTAGGACCCGCTTCCATCCTGCGACGATATCTGTAATACCATCAAACATCCACATCTTGGGAAGGACTCGATAGGTAGACTAAAATGCCAAAAATGCCAAATCCAGTCTGAATATCTGGCTGGCTGTGCGATGATCAATAATAATAATGATAATAAAGTTGGAAGGGACCTTGGAGGTCATCTAGCTTTTCAACCAGTGGTACGGGTACCATCTGTGGTACATTGGCACCTGGCAGGTGGTACGCGACCATCCTAGAAAAGTGGGTAGCGGGTGAGGGGAATGAGCTGAACCGCACAGGCAGCACCGCACAAGCCTGAGCGAGAGATGGCTGGAGCTGCAGGGCTGTCAGGGCTCAGCGGAAGCGCCAGGATCAGCGCCAGGCTCCAGGTGGAGCTCGGCACTGATCCTGGCACTTCTGCTGAGGCCTGAAGAAGCACCAATCAGCTGGAAAGCAGCGCTGATCCTGGCGCTTCTGCTGAGCCCAGAAGAAGCGTCGATCAGCTGGAATGTTGCAGCCTCTCCAGGGTCTTGTGATTTACATTCAGATGCTTGGCAACTGATTCATATTTATGACGGTCACAGTGTCCCAGGGTCATGTGAAGTGGCCAAAATCTGCTGCGACAACCCAGCAGACGAGGGGAATAAAAACCAAACACCCTCCTCGGACAGGAGGAAGCGCGCCGCCGGATGGGCAGGCAGGTGTCTTGCTCAGCTGTGGCTTGGAGGGCACTTTTTTCAGTGCCATTGTAACTTCGAAAAGTCACTAAGCGAACTGTTGTAAGTCGAGGACTACCTGTACTTTATCACTTTTGGGGGGGGTCATCAAGTGTTTGACACCTTGCTAGGCGACTGCTGGTACTCGGATATTGCCATATCCTAAAAGTGGTACAATGGGT